TAACAGAAATTCAAAACAAATTACAAGAAAGAAATGCAAACTTCACTCAAAACCCTAAACTCTTTTTTCGCAACATTCTTGAAAAACCAAAAAATAGTATCAACTTAGACTATATACTAACAAATAACAATTTAATCATCCAACCTTCTGAAATTAAATCATCTCTCAACAATCATTTCCAACAATACTTCCAAGAACTCCTATATACTCAAATAGACACAAGCTCACTCTTCTATGACCTCTACAAACCTCACTCAGAAAATGAACACCTATATCACAACCTTCTCTCGGAAATAACACAAGAATGGTTCAAAACAATCAAAGAATTACCAAATAAAAAGGCTGCTAGCCCTTCTGAACTCAACTACAAACATATCAAAACACTCAACTCTAAAAGTCTTAATATCTTTCGTCTTTTTCTCTTCAAATGCCTTCTTCTACAAAGTATTCTCACAGAATAGAAAACATCTAATATCTTTCTTATTCCCAAAAAACCCTCCTGGAATTTCATGACAATGCCAGGGCGTAGGATCGATTTTATGGTCACATGACTTCTGAGATAATGATCTACATCATATATATATTTTGTACTATATAAATATATATAATTTGTTTTATTTTTTCTTAGCCTAAATATGGTGAATATATGATAACTTGATAACCTAAATTCGGTGTTACTTATATACGTACTACGTATAATTCTTATATTTATTAATTACTTTTTTTTTTTATGTATGAATATTAAACCGCTTAACTCAATATAAATTTAACATACTGATACGGCTTAATCTTTGTATATTCTATTTAGAGTTAATAAATTCAGAACTATTTATTTGTTATTTGTTAAATAAAACAATCGAATAGTATTAGCAAAGAGTTAGAAATTAATTATAACACATCAATTCAAATCATAAACCTATCGCTATTGATATTTTTAATTATATAAATCAGCTCAATGATCGAAACATTTATTATTTTTACTTTATTTTTTTAATGAATTAGAATAACTGATTCAAATCAATTAAATAATTAAATTATAAAATCAGATTTATAGATGGAAAAAAACGAATAAATAGAATTTCATGATCAAATAAATAAATTATCTAATTAAATGCAATAATTATTTTAAAGTTCAGACCAATTAATAAGTTGTTGCTTCACGATATTTGAATTATTCATATGTTTCATGCATGTTTGACTATATACTGTTCAGAATAGAATTGCAATTAAACATAATCTTAAACTTTACTAAGTTTTTCTTTGGTTGTTTCATCTGCAATTCTAAAATTCTAGTTCAGAATTAAAATATCTAAAATGCCACCTCAACATTTAGTTTGCTACTTAAAAAAAAAAGAAAAAGCTTTTAAAAATATCAGTATTTTTTTAACAAACCTTTATAAATAGTAATTACTTTCCTAATTATTACAGTTCCCAAAATATCTACAAACTTATTACTTCAGTTGACCTACAAATTACTTCATATTTATCACCTATTCTATTATCAACGATTAACATAATATAATATTATTATTTCAGTATTCAATACATAAATTAATTGAATTAACTTAACCATCCTATTTGCCAATAATAAATATACTTATAACTTCAATTTTCAATGCCTTTTTGCAGCACTTGTTCGCATAATTCTCCTTCTGAAGAATTCATATATAAAGGCAAAAGTTATAAGATTTGTAATAGCTGTAGAGCTATAAGAACTCTTAAAAAAATAAACCAATTGAGATAATTTCTCTATATAAAATTAGTAACTATGTTGTGAATGCAATCGATAACTTAGAAAATCAAGCTAAGCTTTCTCTCATTTTTCATATTTAACTTGATGACATTACACTTAATAGAGTTGGTACAGATGTTAAACTTATGGCTAAATTAATTATCGATGAAATAGAGGAAGGAGATAGCTATAATTAGACATATGTAATAAAATAAATATTTACTATACTGCATTGGTTAAAAGATCATATAAAATACCTGGCATTTATGTGACAAATATTTTTTTTACTGAATATAATGTATAAATACAATATATTCATTCTTTAATCAAAATATTTCTAGGTATTTTATAAGACTCTAGTCTTTTAATCAGTACATTACAGTAGATATAAATATGTTACCTCATTTAACTATATGCTAATAGATAATGTATCTACAATATAGTGTTACAACTGCACCAAATCTTTTAGTTTGTTATCATAGTGTTGGGAATACTTATTTTTCATGTTTCCAAAGTAATGAACTTGAACGAGAATTTAAAGATTCAAGTCATAAGAGGATTCTTTATTATAATTGTAGTGGCAAAATATCGATTAAAATTGATATTTTAGTAGCAGAAGCTAAATTACCCTAAAACATGAACTTCAACATGATAAACCTATTGAGATTACAACACCAAATGAAATAAAACAAGAGATTAGTAAAAATCTTCATTTGAATTCTATGGAATTGCGATATCATCTTCGTAAAAAGTTTAACATATCAACTATTACATCCAAACAAATCTATTACTGGTGGTCGTATTATACACAACAATTCTACAAAAATGATGATAATTATATTATTTCAGCATGTATGTTTTTTGATTGGCAACTTGATAATTACTGCGCTTTATGCTTTCAACTTGAAACAAATAATACAACTGCTATTGGTTTCATGACAAGTTTATTTGAACAATCTCATTATGAAGAGGTACACTGTGACGCCACTTATAAAATCTCCAAGAGACAGTTCAAACTTTATAGCCTTATTGGTGATGTTAAAGATGCAAAGTTTTTTCCTTTTTTTTTTTATCTTCTAATCATTACTTTCTCTTCTATTTTTTTTTACTTTTTTTTTCTATATAATAAATCTATTTTTATTGAAGATACTAGTTTCCCACTAGCTTATTTAATCTTGGATACTACTAAATCTTCTAAAAATGAACAATAGCAAGGATTAAGAACTGAAGCACTTACTAGTTTCTTTCAATCTCTTTGTAGTAAGGGTTTAAACCCAATTTACTTTTATACTAATAAAGATTTCACTGAAATAACTGCTGCAAAAAATGTATGGCCCATAACTGATGTATAGCTTTGCTTATGGCATATCGAAAAAGCTATTAAAGAAAAGTTTAAAAGTCGTAAAAAGATTGAATGTATAAACTATAACTATGAAGAAGTTATAAAAGAATTTAGTTTCATTGATCCACTTTTTATACCTGATTTGCAACGAATGGATAACGAATATTATAAAGTCTGCTCACCTGACCTTTGTGAAACTGTTATTGAAATGGTTAAAAACTATTTTAACATGCATCCTAAAATCTCTGTTAATATTAATAGACAATTTTTGACCCCTAATAAAATAAGAATTTTTTTTTTTTTTTTTAAACCTAAGCTTTATAAAGCTAGGGGCGCAGTTGGCACTCTTTATTTACAATTAATTAATTTATAATGAGTATTTTAGATATTTACATAAGATTTTTTTCTCTAATGATTTGCTTAGTTTGAACATTTTATGAAGAGATTGAATTTCTTTAGAGATTCGACTTTTAACAATTGTTAAAAGAGTTGAAATAAGAAGAGTATTATTTCCCCATTTAAGTGAAGTATAACAGCACCAGAGTTTATAAATTGTTATAATATGCAGCCAGTTTAGAGCTTGCTTATAGGAGGAGTTCTGAGTATACGATCCATCGAACATTTCTTTAAGATTTAGAGGATGATTAATAGATTCATTTAAATTAAGAAATCTATATGCTATCTCCCAGATTTTTTCACTTAAGCTACAATCTATTGCAAAATGCTCTGGTATTTAAGATTTTTCTGTACACCACGAGCAGAATTCTGTGTCTGGAGATTCTATATATTTCAGTTTGTAATCTAAAAGAAGGGACCTATGGAAAAGGCGCTAGTATATATTCTTTTTCTTGTTAATGATTGTCTTTATTTGCTAGTACTATAAACAGATATATTTGTGTTTTTTGTTAATAACTCTTCCTAATACTATACTCTTCTCTTTTTCAGATATAATTCATTCCTTCTTTTTTTTTTTTTTTTTTTTTTTTTTTTTTTAACTTAGGCAATCTTGCCTGTTATTTTATTAAGGAAAAGCTAATATAAACTACAAAGTAAAATTAATATAAACTGTACTAAAATACTCTCCTAAAACTATTTTAGACTCATTTGGCTACCTTAAGGTACCTAAGTATAATCTGCTGCAGTAGCTATTTCTCTCACAAAAAAAGTTAACTAAATATATAATTTACTTATTTCTGATCACTGAAAAGCTACTACTAAACTTTATTAAGATTTTTTAATTTGTTTTAAATTTTAACCACTCATCTTTCATACTAAATACAACTTAACAATTAATTTTTTTACATACTTCTATTTGAACGTTTAAGCATTTTTCTTTCTTGTTTTCTTTCTCTAAGTCTACAGATTTAGTATTCTCTTTATTTAGATTCGTCTTTTTCTTTTTTTTCTTAGTCTTTTTTAATCTTACTAAGATATTGTTTTCTTTCTCTCAGTTGATCATAATTTCATAGTGTAACTTTCATAGTCATTTAAAGAAGCATTTCTAGAATTGATCTAAAAAGATCACTAATATCCTGTTCATTTTTCTTTTAGAGTTTGTTAGTTTTGTAAACTTTTTATGTTATTTGTAGCTTATAAGTCCTCTTAGTAATAACTTTCTATTCTGAATAATTGATTCTGTTTCATCACCAAAGATAGTACTTTTAAATAGCCTATTATCTAAGATAATATTGAACTTGGTTTCTGTTTCAAGACCTGTAAGTTGAATTGCTTTATTTTCTAGATTTTTCTATATCTTTTGATAAATCTCATATTCTGCGATATAATACAAAGATTCATTTTTTATAAAGCAAGCTATATATCTTAAATTATTATATAAGTTTGGATTTCTTTGTGAACAGATAACTTTTGTTGGTAGAATGTTATTTATATACTTTATATGGAACATTAGTACTTTACTTTTCTTTAGACTATTATATTTTTTTCCTTGTATCTTTTTTTAGAACCTGCTATATATTGTTCTAATTTAGTTCTTAGAGCTGTATATTGTTCTAGTTTTGATTCATAATTTCTACTATTTTGCTGAGTTTAGATCATTCAGTTTCATAATATATTGCTATAGTTATATTTACAAAGGACTTAAGAAAGCTTTCTATAATTTGATCTTTCTATTTAAGTATAAACATTATATCCTTAAATATAGACTCTAGTATTTTGAGTACATTGTTCATGCTTATGCCACTTTTTGCAAAATAGTCTGCAAGATTATTTCCTAGATTACTGCTATTACTTTTGATATTATGAAGCTTTAAATCTAGATAATTGGCTATACAGCAACTTAGAATTTGCCTTAATAAACTATGAATTTTTACTTTAAACTAGATATGAAGTTTGTTGTCTTCTCTATATTTTTCAATTGTTCTATTACTACTTTGCTATCTGTAAGTATATATACTTGATAATTGCTTGGTATAGCTAGCAATATAGTCCAAATTATACCTAATTCTGCATGAGTAAATGAGAGCTAATTTTCTAAACTACAACTAAAACTAATTTCTCTAACTATCTCATTTTCTAACTTTGCTATCTATTCTAATTCCATTTTGTTCCTTGTTTTTTTATTCATTTCCATCAATCTGTCTATATAAAATTCTACTATCTTCTTTTTTTTTAGCATATTACACAGTTCTGCTAGATTTTTTTTAATTTCAATATTTGCTATATTATTTTGTATAATAGCAATTTTGTGATTACTATTCTAACTTCTTAGCTAAGCTTCATATTCAATATTAGCTTTTTCTTAGTTAGATAAGCTAATATAGATGCTTTGAGAATTAGTCTTCCTTCAGCTTTTTGTATATCTACTATCTGATACTATTTACTATACTTTATATTAAACTCATAGCTATTATTATTGAAATTTCTCTGCTATATTTATAATATTTAGTAAACACCTTTTTTTTGATTGTTAAAGTTGTGATTTTACTTCAATATTCAGCAATTACACCTTTTTCTGTTTTTCTAATAATTTTCCTTATAAGTACCATATCATTCTTTAAGCAAAAAAACTATTCTTTTTTCTTTCTGTCTTGTGTAATTCTTTTAGGAATATTTTAATAGCTTTCCTATTTATATAATTTGTTCAGTAGAGATTTAGTATTTCTCTTTTGTTTTCTTCTTTAAGTACTTTTTCCTCTAACTTTGTGAATCAGCTTGGGTACATCTTTTTCTCTGAGATGCTCTTATATATTTAATTTGTTACTATGTTAGCAGGAACCTTTTTAAGCTATCTAACACTTGTTCTAGAATAAATAGGTTTAATTTATCAGTTAACATGAATGATTATTCCTCTTTTTTCTCTAGCAAGTTATAAATTTTAGTTCTTGCGAAGTTTATTCTATTTGAGTTATCAGCTAGCTTATTAATTTGAAGTTCTATTTTAGTAGCTTCATATAGAACTTTGTATATTAAGTTATATTTAAGTACTATTTTATCAAATTTAAACTTCTCACTAGTAGGGCATAATAGGTTTTTACTTTGAAGTTAGCCTTCTTTTAATCTTATTCTAGTGATTCTTCCTAGTTTATTTTGTCTGTTTAAATATATTGTGAGTTTAGTGAAGTAATGTATTAGCTGATTTTGTCAAATGGAGTATAAATCCAGAAAGCTAATATGACTACATATAGCATTAGCAGTAGTACTCACTAGATCTAACTTATTTTTAATTAATATTCAAATTAGTCTTTGTATTTGTCATATATAGTTTTAGACAAAAAGGTTGTTTGAAGTTTATACTCTATACTCAGCAACAAAACACTATTGTTTAGATATATCAACTGGCTTACTGTAGCTTTTTTTCACCTGATTGCTCTGCACATTCTGTTAATTTCATTTTTAATTATATTTAAACTACAATTTAGATTGTTCTTATTTAATATCTATACTCCTAAATGTCTGTATGCACTTGTAGTTTTTTTAGTATAAAACTTATCTCCTTTCATACTAATATTTGCCATGTAATGATTCTTGATTTCTTTAGATTTAGAGTTTGTATTAAAAACTAATAGTTCAGACTTTTTACTATTAATTTTAATATCATTTAATGAACTCTTTTGCAGTATTGACAATCTTTTGTAGTTTTTTCTTGGATCTGGCTATTCATGTAATATCATCTGCATATACTAATATAACTTGTTGATGAGATTTTTCTTTAGTCATATTGTATACTAAATTTTCTGCCTATTTAGTCATTATTTTATATCCTGTATCTCTTGCTTTTTGAATTGCACAGAGTAGTAGATCATAAAAAATATACTATACTAATAGAGAGATAACCTCTTCTTAGTCTATGCTATCTTTTGCTTCAAATTTCTTAGTTAGTCTAAAACTTGTAACTACTTTTATCTTTTTTTCTTTGTAAAAGTTAAGAATAAAATTTACTACTACTTCAGATAACTTTATTCTTAATAGTACTTTTTTTAGCATCTCTAGATTGACTAAATCAAAAGCTTTATATATATCTTGGAAAAGTATCTAGAGCTCCTTATTATTTTGTTTTGTATCTTTTATAATACTGTTTAGTATATGAATTAGGATTGCTATACTATTTTTAAATAATTTTGTGTAATTTAGTCCTTGTAAAATATTATTTTTTACTAAGACTTTGTTTAGCCAATATGTTAAAACTCACACAACAGTCTTGTAAAAAGTTTTTAATAGGATAATTAGGCATATATTAGCTAAATTATAGTTCTAATCTTCACTTTTTAGGATCAGGTAAAGTTTGCTAAATTTCTATTTAAGTAAAATTTCGCTATCTTGTATGTATAATTAAGCAAGGTATCTAAATACTTTTTGTGCTAAAGAACTAACTTTTTTGATTAAAGAATAGCTTATTCCAGATAGGCCTAATGCTGATTTAGATTTTGTATTCTTTAATGCTTCTGCTTATTCTTTTTTAGAGATGTTAGTATCTAGATCATTGTAAATTTCTGAGTTTATTTCTTGAATTAAACTATAGATATTCTTCTATTTACTTAATATGCAATCTTCTTGTGACTTTCTTTTTCGGAACTATGATTCAATATAAATTTATACTTCTTCTAAGACTTCTGTTTTCTTATTTACCAGTATTGTATTTAAATTGTCTTCTTTAACTATTCTGTCTAGAATTATACGCTTTGAGGATCTTTCTAGAAGACTATTAAGCATGTGTTTAAGCTTACCTTAAATTGCTTCATAGTATTGATTTACTGCTGAATTTATTTCTTCTAGATCTTCTTTTCTTCTTTTTTGCAGAAGCTTTACATTTAAGATTTTTC